AGGCTCCGCCGTCGTCCCCAGAAAACAGTGTGCCTCCGCCACCGGCTACTGCACCTACCATCAGGTCGGGCGTGTCCCCTACAGGCGGAGCTCGGGCGACAACTCAAACGTACGTCAAACATGCGCCAGAAGTGCCCACAGATCAGAGGACAATCGCCCCCCCACTATGTCTGGACTGCTTTTGAATATTCTTCCTGTAGAGGGACAGGCCCGACGTACGCCTGCCACTTGAACGTCCTGCGCTCCTCCACCGTGCGGGACGCCCTGCGCCTTTGCTGCTCCGCCCTCCTCGCCGAGGCCTTCGCGCCTGCTGCCGCTGCCCCCCGGGCCCTGCTGCCGCAGCGAGCAGACGACGCTCGCCAGTGCAAGACGTCCGCTTTGCAGCGCGCTGCTGAGAGTAGCTCCAACGGCCCTGTTGCCGGGCCACCTGATGGCCTGGATGGAGAACTTGAGCAGGGGCCGCCCGTCCCGGCATTCCGATGGGCCTGCCACGCAGTGTTCTTCGAACGACCGGCTGCTCCAAGAACAAGGGCAATGTTCTACACACATCAAGCCGATGTGCTAAAACAAGACAACCCAGCCAGACATGCTCCAAGAACACGTCGCGCAAACCACGACATATTCTTAGAGCATTATCTGGTGGGCCTGTAGGCGCGCCAGGACGCTCCGCAACTGCTCAAAGACTGTGCTCTTCCTCGTGCTGGCCCGGGTGCACGCCCAGCTGGCGCTGCAAGCCAGGACGCTCCGCAACTGCTCGAAGATCGAGCTCTTCCTCGTGCCGGCCCGGTGCACGCCCAGCCGGCGCTGTGCCCCTGGATGTGCACAGGCAGGGGGGGCGTCTCCAGCGTGCCGCGGCACGCCGCAGCGCTGCCGCCGCCCCGGGGGGAAGAAAGCTCGTGAGGGCGCCGCTCACATGTAGCTTGAAGTCGGGCCTGTCCCCCTACATGAGGATTTTGGACGAAAAACAACACTTCCTGAGCACCGCGGGCTCCACCGACCTCGCCTACTCCCGCGATGTATAGCGTGCCCGCCAGTCTCGCCGCTGGCCTGGAGGTGCGGGAGACCCGCGCCGCAGAGGAGGTGGGCAAGTCTTAGGTCGGGCCTGTCCCCCTACAGGGGGATCTTGGGCGAAGAATTTTAAATACTGAAAAATGCCCCCCCCCAAATGGGCAACAATAGTGAACCAATTACCCCCAGACTGTTTTTGAACTATTTTTGGATATTCCTCCTGTAGGGGGACAGGCCCGTCTTAAGGCAACTCCCTCCCCCCCAGCGCTCCCTGTCGGGGCAAGGGGAAGGCGACGAAGCAGCCTACGGGCCCCACCCTGCGCCAGATGCCGGAGAATCAGGGGGCGAAAAACAGTATATAACATAAACTGTTCCGCCGTCGTGGACGCCTGCTCACTGGGCGGCTGAACATCAGTACCCAGACGTTGCACCGTAGGGCCCAAGGGGTATAAACTTTCCAGCCGCCTGGGGGGCAGGCGACCACGACGGCGGAACAATCTACTTCGTACCGCACTTCGCCCGCTAACTGCCGGGGCCTGGGGGAGGAGGCGAAGCAGCCTACGGTAGGGAACCGATCTCTATACACACCGACGCGTGTTCCGAGCCTGCTGTGGAACTTGCAAACAGTAAAGCGGATCCTGGTGCAAATGGGGAAACAAGTATACACCACACCACCCCGACGTCGTCCTCGACCCTCAAAAAAGACCTGGGGTTGGAAAACAGCCCGCCACTGGCAATGTGTAGGTGCCAATCTCCAATACGGGCCCCACCCCGCGCCGGGTGCCGGAGCAGGCTCTGGATCCCGAGCTCCTCCTCCTCCTCCTCCTCGTCCTCCATCTCCTTCTCCCCCTCCTCCCCCTCCACCTCTTCCCCCCTGGGAGCCGCAGGCGCAGCCGCAGGCGGGGCAGCAGGGGGGGCAGCCAAAGGAGCTGCTTGTCGAAGAAGCACGGCTGTCGGCAGCACTGGTGGCAGGGAGCTCACGCCCGGCGCGAGCCCGGCAGCGGTAGCAGCACGAGGTGTGGCCCGCGGGGGCCCGCGCGAGGCACTGCAGCCCGAGCCGCCGCCGTCGGCCGGGCACCTGCGCGCGCCAGCAGCAGGCTTGAGCGGGCCGACACGTGGACCTCCGCGCCCGCGTGCAGGAGGAGGAGGAGGAGGAGGAGGAGGAGGAGGAGGAGGAGGAGGAGGAGGAGGAGGAGGAGGACGCGTCTGGAGGCCTTCGGCCTGGTGCCGCTCGGGCTCCCCGGCGCGGTGCTGTGCCTCTGGAGGCGCCCCTGCCCAAGGCTCGGTGGAGCCATAGCTGGCCCCATCTCGGGGGCGGCCAAGAGGGGGGCTGAGGGGCAACGATAGGGGGGGACTGGCATAGGGGGGGATGCATCGACCTGGAATCGGCGATACATCGCCGATAGCTCGGCGCTAGGCCTGCGATCGCGAATCCGAACCTTCCTGGGCAGGTTGGAGCTATTGGGTCCCTATCGGCGATGAATGGGCGATTCGGGGTCGATGCATCACCCCCTATGCCCATCCCTCCCTATCGTTGCCCCTGAGGGGCGTGCAAGAGGGGGGGGCGCAAATCATGGCCGGCGGCTTGTGCGCGGCCAAGGGGGGGGGGCTGGGGACATGAGGAAAAAAGACGAGGCGCCATGAAGTCTGAGGAAATATCATGGCCCACGCCATGATATGACCCCCTAGTCGTCAACCCCCGCCAAAAGACAGCGTCCGGCTCCCGACGCCGCGTCCGGACAAAAGTGCTGCCGCCGCCGAGCCTCAGGCAGATGTCGGGCGCCCCTGGCGGCGGCGGGAGTCCGCCTGCGGACCCCGCTGCGGATGGGGAGATGCCACCAACAATAGGGGGAAAACAAACCTACCTCGCTTTTGACCACCCTCGCTTCCAAGAGATACCAAAGATGCCAGATTGCAGCCTGCACTGGTCAGGCCGCTTGACGAGGAGGCGCGTGGTATGGCTTGGTTTTGCCTGGAAGCGAAAGCGGGGTAGGTAATTCACGCTCTGAAACAAACCCCACTGCCCCGCCGACGCCGATCATGCCTGGAGGTGAGAGGAATGAAGCATGACATAAACATAAAGCTCGGCGCGCGGAGCGCGCCAGGGGGCCCCCGCGCCGATCCGAGAAATCCGCGTGGACCTCCGAGTAATTCAGTTTTTGTCATTCTCCGTTCCCCGAAAGTCCTTCCCCCCCAGCGCCCCCACTGCCGGGGCCAGGGGGAGCTGGCGGAGCAGCCTGCGGGCCCCACCCCACCAGGCGCTGCACGAAGGCCCCGCCGACCGCCGACTACGCCAAGTACGTCCAGCATCTCGTCCTGCCTGCTGTCCCGAGGCCTCCAGGATGCCTGTGGGAATCTCTTGGGGGGCCTCGCGGAAGCCACTTGCAGGCTGTGTTGGGGTGCCTTCGGGGCCTTTCGGGTGCCTCTTGGAGACCTGCTGAAGCTTCTGGGTGCCTTCTTTGGGCCTGCTGGCAGTTTCGGAGGTCCTGGGGGGGAGGGGGTCGAAATGTCGTTTCCCCTTTTGGGGCATCCCGTGGGTTCCGCTTGGGGCCCTCCTGGGCTATCTTGGGGACCCCTTGGGCCCCCCCTTGGGCCCCTCTTGGGGCCCTGGGTTCCTTTCTTCTCCCTCCCCCGATCCTCCTCGCTCTTCCCTCTTCCTCCTCCTCCTCCTCTTCCTCCGTCTCCTCCTCCGCCTCCATCTCCTCCTCCTCCTCCCCTGTCCTGTTGGTCCAACAGCTGCAGCTCCGTCCTGATCAGCCCCGAGATGTGCGTGAGGTCGGCCTCCCTGTTGCGCGTGCACTCCTCCGCTGTGGGCCGAACCGGGGGGGGCAGCACCGGGCGGGTGGAGGGCGAGGGCGGCGGCGGGGCCCAGGGCAGAGAGGAACGGGGAGAGCGGGGGCAGGAGAGGAGCGGAAAAGGAGAGAGAGAGAGAGAGAGAGAGAGGGGTTACAAGAGAGACGGGGAACTTGCCATCGCTCGGGCGTCCATTCCCCGTGCCTTCTCCGGCCTCGTGCGTGCATTCTCTCGCGGGATGATCCGTGATGCTCCCCGAATGTCCTCGCCGAGACCACATGAACACGTGCGAGAGATGCCAAGAGAAGGGATGAGGGGTGGGGGGCTGGGCCCAGGGAGAAGATGAACGGGGGGGGGAGGGCGCCGGCTGGGCCCCTGGGAGGAGAAGAGCGGGGGGAAGGGGGAGGCGAACAGAGGCACAGAGGGAGAGAGAGAGAGAGAGAGAGCGAGCGATACTATATATATATATATATACACACCCCAAGACAGCCGTAAGACCTCGCCCAGGCAGGCATATCCAGCGAAGCTGGAAGATATAGCGTGGATCATTTCTCATTCACACCACGACAGAATAATACATAATGCTCAGGCCTGCAGCATACTGAAGCAATCATCTCGAGGTGCGAGCATCCCAAGCACCTCTCGCCCCAGCGGTTGCATCAAATTAGCGAGCAGTGCAACTGGCTCGAGGGTGGACGAGGGTGGGCGGACTTGAGCCGCACGGTTGCAAAGGCACGTGCGGGCATTCGCTGGCGGGCGAGTAGGGGCCGAGGGGTATTCACGTCTCTGACTATACACACCCCAAGACAGCCCTAAGACCTCGCCCAGACAGGCATATCCAGCGAAGCTGAAAGATATAGCGTGGATCATCTCTCATTCACACCATGACAAAATAATCCATAATGCTCAGGCCTGCAGCATACTGAAACAATCATCTCGAGGTGCGAGCCTTCCAAGCACCTCTCGCCCGTACCCGTATTACATACTGGTGGGCCCGTCAACACTCTCTTGTAGCGGGTCACCGAGGCGGACGCTGCCCAGCGGCCGCGTTGCTGAATCTCCTTCCACGTCCGTCGACCTGGGGCTTTGATGTTCGAGGCTCAGCTGTGCTTGAAGACGTGAGGGCACACTTTGGGGGACGTGTAACCCAGGCGGTCTGTGCTGCGTTTGACCGCGCGCTCGAAATCGGGCAGGGTGAATGTGAATAGCCTCTGAAGGTAGGGCGCCTTGGGCTTGAAGAGGAGGTTTGTTATTCTTGCCAGCCACGGATACGCCGCGACTTTGATGAGCGTGCTGTCGTCCAGGCCGCCTGCCTTCGTCGTCTCGTGCCAGTTGGAGGGCGCGATGACTACGCCAACGTGCGTGCCGGGCTTCGCGGCCAGCGCGGGCGGCAGGATCTGGCAATGTCGGAGCTCCGCGGTCCCGAAGGGCCAGGGGTTGGCGTCCATCTCGAGCACCACCGCGGCGCCCAGTTGCGGCATGATGCGCTCCACCAGGTCCAGCGCGATGTTGTCTACGATGATGTCGGTCGCCGGGAGCCGCAGGCGCCTGTAGTCGTAGAAGGTGTTGCGGCCCTCCCACGTGTCGAAGCCGTCGTCGAACGGGTCTACGAGGCACGGGGACAGGGAGTTGTCGAGGCGGCTCAGCGGCTGCAGGTCGAGCATCTTGCCCACGCAGATCTCGAGCTCGTGCACTGCCGCCGCGCACCGCTTGAGGGTGTCGTTCGCCATCGTTGCCATGACCAGCGCGCCGCGCCACGGGGCCCGGAGGGGCCCCCCGTGGCGCGCCGTCGACGGCAGGCGAGGCCGCCCGCTGCCCGGCGGCGGCTGCCTTCCAGTGAGCCTGGGCCCGCCAGCGCTGGGGGTGTTTGTCCTGACCGAACTGGATGGCGGGGTCTGCCCCGAGGAAGTCGTCGGTGGCTCTGCAGGTGTCGCCGCGTACTGCCACTTCACTAGGCGTCGGCTGACGGCCTGCCGCCAGGAGGAGTCCCTGTCGGAGCTCCTGAGAGTCGAAGTCGGCGGCGTGGGCGAGCGCTTCCCTGGGAAGAGCGGTTGCCAAAATGTCAGCCCAGCATGAGCCCAACTGTGACGGATATGTGGCAGCTTGGGGTGTGAGGCGCCCGTGCAGCATGACCGCACGCTTGTGCGAGACGCGGGGTCGCTCCCCCAGGGCCCTCAGGGCCCCCCGCGTTCGTCAGGATCCGAGTAGGCTTCCGATAGGGTGCCCCGAACATACTCATATCGAAATTCGCCTCGATGACGGCGGGCAGCCCTCGAAGTCGAGCGACGGGTTCAAAACTCCATAGCCTCGAAGTCCTGGGATTCTCGACGCTCCAGTAGCAACCCCCTGCGAGACAATACGTGACAGAGGGTGGCCGTGAAGAGTGCGAACTCGACCACCAACCTTTCCTTAGCCCGTGCTCGCGCGTGGTTCTTGATTCCCCGGCGTGCGATACTCCAGACGGAACACGGCGTCCCAAGATGTACATGTAGTAGTCGGCCGCTGCGGGCCAGATCCAAGATAAAATGCTGCGTGCTTCTGCGAGACAAATCGAACTCCCAACCGTCCTTTATGTCCACGGGGTCGGCGAAGGGAAGCCCAACCTTTCTGCAGGCCCGAGTCAACCGCCCCAGACCACCAAAGAGCTCCAAACAAAAACTGACTTACCAGGCTCGATCTGAATTGTCGGGCAGGAAGCAGATGATAGAGATGCCGACGATGGAGGCGACGGAGAGGAGAGAGGTTGTGTCTTGCGCCCCTCGGAGCACGGCCGATCGACAGTCAAGCTCGGCGAGGCGACGCCCAGCCCGCCCGACGAGTGCTCCGGCTCCGCCGGGCGCTTGGTGTCCCAGCGGCGCGAGTCCTGGTCGCTCGGGTTCCGATCCGTCTCGATGTACCGGAGCCGCCATGCGATCTGGCCGCCGAGGCGGTAGGCTGCCGCTCGCTGCAGCCCTGCACTGGAGCGGCCCTTCTCATAGGCCCCCACGGTCACCTGGCTGTCGCTGAGGGTGAGCAGCTTCGAGCCCAGCCGTCCCACCGTGCGGCAGTGACGCCGTAGGCCCATCAAGGCCACCCGAGCCTCCTTCAGATTGATGTGCTCCTCCTGCCAGCGCCAGCGGTCCTCCGCGACGAGCTGGTAGCGCTGGCGCCCAGTCCAGCCGTCGGCCAGGCGAGGAATCCCCGCGTCCAGGTCGACCTTGACTCGAGGGCGCCGCGGCGGCGCGGCCGCCGAAGGCGACCCGAGGCGCAGGTCGTCGGCCCGGGCCCGAAGGGCCTGGCCGAAGGCCGTGCGCGGCCCCGCCAAGAGGCCAGGCGTGTCGCCCCGCACGTAGCTGAGGCCGTCGGTCATGTGGCCCTCCTGCACGGGGATGTCGCGGTAGCGCCAGCGCTCTCTCCACCTCCAGGCCTCGCGCAACTCGCCGGGCTCTGCCTTCGTCACGTGGAGGGCGTAGCCCCTGGTGGAGGAGTCGCCGCAGTAGACCTGGTTGGAGAAGGTGGCGCCCAGGCCGGCCTCCATCAAGAAATGGAGGATCTCGGACTTCACGGACGGCCGCGCGCGCCTGGGTACCTCCATTGCCCCCTCGATGAAGCGGTAGCAGTCGTTCAGCGCGGACATGGCCTCCGGGCACAGCTGGTTCAAGTTCACCACGTGGCCGAGCCAGCACTGCAGAGTGTGCCCGTGCAGTTTGCGACGGCGCAGCAGGGCATGGCCGGCCAGGTAGGTCCGCCAGACGCGGCGGGCAACATGCCGCAGCCGTCGGTCGCGCCAATGGCACACCAGGCCCAGCGACTGCATCTCAAAACCGTCGCGACGCCCCACGTCAAAAGGTATGTTATCATCACAAAAACTCTTCTCAATCTCATGCACCTGCTTCCTGGCGTCGCCCGCGCAGCCATGCACGTTGTCAACGGGCACGCCGGCCACGCACTTGCCAGGCTTCAAAACTGGAGCAGGCTGAATCTCCCGCATGATCTGGTCAGCACCTCCGTCCAACGTCCGCTCAACACGGTAGGTAACGGCTTCGCTGGCGAAGAAGAGGGCCCACGACCAGCCCGCGCAGACAGCGGCCATGCACGGGTAGAGCACCTCGCCGTCCACGACCTTCGTATCCGCCCCCTCGGCGTCGTCCCAGATGATGGCGGGCCGGCACCCCATGTCCTCCAGCTCGCAGGTGTCGACGCGGTCCTCGAAGCCGTACCAGGAGGCGAGCTCGGGGACGGTGTAGTTATAGAAGCAGTCCCCGACGTCGCCCTCCTCCCCGCGCGGGCTCGCCGCGGGCCCCGAGCCGAGGCCGCCGAAGCCGGAGGCCTTCAGCATGGGGTCGGAGAGGTCCAGGTCGGCCATACAGCGCGAGGACCCAAGTCGCGTGGTGGGTGGCGGGCAATGTGCCCGATTGGCCGCTCGGGCGTCGATGATCAGCCTCTGGAGCCCATCCTTCTTCTTGACCACGAAGATACCCGCGCGCCCCTTCAGCCGCCGGCGCCAAGTCAGCAAGCCCTGCTGGCACAAGCGCTGGTACAGTCGCCTCCGTAGGTCTCGCGAGCGCCGAAGCTTGGGGTCCCAGTAGGGCGAGGACCCCGCGCACTCGGACCGGTCCTTCTCAAGCTCCGCCTCATCCATCTCGATCAGATCGGCTGAGTGTCTGAGGTAGCCAAGCGCTGCAGGAGGGAGCTCGCGGCGAATGGGCCGCACGTGAACCTTCCGATGCAGGATCTTGACCTTGTCAAACTCGAAGCTGGCCAGGTTCTTAGGCCCCATGCCGTAGTGGTCTCTGGAGTCGAGGATCTCCGACAGGGATGACTCCTCAGTGAGGTCAGCAGGGCAATCCCCGTACGACTCGACCCGCCGGGCGACGTTCTGGAGATTCCAGCGTTGCACGGCGGTGGGTCGGAGGTGCCCTTCAGGTGGAAGATCATGCCCCTGGGCACATCGCGAATTCAGGTTGGCGGCGGCGAGCTGGTTCAAAGCCCGAACCGAATCAAAAACTTGCCGTAGCCGCGCAGGATCA